CTTTCTCTTGTATGTGACATTCCAGGTGATGAGTGGTCATTTGGAGGCTTGCAGCAATGTTGCAGGCACCTTAGTGTGCGAAGATGTGTGTGATGTCAAAAAGCCTGGCAGATTTGGACATGCGGTCGACTTCCAAGGTACCCGGCTGGATCTGGATTGTGTGCGGTACAAAGGATTGAAGGTTTGTAGTTTTCCTCAGCTGTTCCCAAAAATTTCTGTAACAAGAAAGTAATTTGACTTGTTTTTTCAGAAGGTCAAGTTGTTTGCCAAGACATATTGCAAAGGAAAAACTCAAGGCATGGAAAAGGTGGTTCAGCCTTGGGAACTGTGCTTCTTCAAGCATGAAAGTAAGTACTCTTTCACTAGTTGGAATATGGATTTGATTAATAAATCTCTTTGGTTCCATTTTCAGAAAAACCTGCACAAGTCCAAGAACTTGAAGATAACCAAAGTCTGCCACAAGGAGAGGACAAGGAAATAACACAATCAACCAAACAAAGTCAGTGGGAACCAACTAGGACAATGGTTCCTGGAGTGATGACTACAACCACAGCAGCCACCACTACTACCAATCCTCTCACAACCAAGTCTTCAACAACTCAAACACGGGCAAGCACCACAACTGAGCCATTGATGACTACATCCTTGGGGCCAACAACCAGAGTGACCACTATCCCTGCAGCATCTTCATCAGTTCCAGCACCCTCCTGGACTTCAGTCCCAACTGTGATGAAGCCTCTGGATAGCCAACAACCAGAGTGACCACTATCCCTCCAGCATCTTCATCAGTTCCAGCACCCTCCTGGACTTCAGTCCCAACCGTGATGAAGCCTCTGGATGTCGGGGTTCCAATTCCGTCCTCTCCCGTACCATCTGCTGAGGTATCCCAGAATCTTTCCAACATTTTGGATGATTTGGGTCAGTTTGACGGGTTTAACTTGACGGCACGGCGTCCGGATGGCACCTTAGTGCAAGCAGATAAGAGCGGGGACAGCAAGACCAATCTGTAGGATTGAACCCATCCGTCACGGAACCCACAGCCGAGAAGGGAGTAGCGACCCCATCAGACGACAACGTCTTTCTAGTTTACGTTCCACACAACCGAACAACACTGGATAAAAGATTTTGAATTAACCTTGGTGCCTGTGGTTTTGCTTTGGCTTCTGCTTTTCTTTGTGCATAAAAATAGAAAGAAAGGGCTGTTAACGGGATTAACATAAATGAACAAAATGAAACTCGTTCATTTCCTAATCCGTCCTTTGAGGAGATGGAAATGGATGAGCTACCATCTTTGGCAACCGTTCGACCTTTAATGGCCTCTTTCCGTAAGCATGACGTTTTGCTTGCAACTTGCATGTGCCTTCATTTTCTATGTTTTAGGTCCGGTCAGAGCAACTAGATGCAGCGGAGGTCTTTGCGCGGCTGGGGTGGCCCCTGCTGCGTGCCTGGATGCTGCGGAAGATTCGTTCTAGCCGGGCCAGGACCATCCCAAGGAACCCGGCTCCCATGCCTGATCCAGTGGATAACATTAGCCTGGACAGCTATCATACTGTGGGAGATTTAGTTTAGGCGCGCGTATTGTATGTATTTTCGCGCGACTTAGGATCTTGTTGTTGATAGGGGGACTTAAATAAAAATGTTGTCTCCTGAATTGGTGTTGTCCCTTTTCCTTTTTTGTTTGTTCTTCTCCACAGCTTTCTTTCAACAGCAAGGCAAAACAACCAGTCTTCAGCAAAAACACTAAGCACAGGAGTAAAGCAAAGAACAAAGCACACACCTGTAAAGCCTAATCACACATCTGCATAACCACAAAGGTACTTTAACTTCATGATGATAGAAGTCAACACAACATCACCTGTTGGTATCTTGTCAATACTCACACAATATAAG